TCGACCGCAACCGGCCCAGCTTCGACGGCATCCTCTACTTCTACCAGTCCGGGGGCAAGCTCCGCCGGCCCGTCAACGTCTCCATCGACGTCTTCGCCGACGAGATCCGCTTCTACCAGCTGGGCGAGGAGGCCATGGAGCGCTTTCGGGAGGACGAGGGCTTCATCAAAGAGGAGGAGAAGCCCCTGCCCCGCAATGAGTTCCAACGCCAGGTCTGGCTCATCTTTGAGTATCCTGAGAGCTCCAGCTCTGCCCGGGCCATCGCCATCGTCTCGGTGCTGGTCATCCTCATCTCCATCATCACCTTCTGCCTGGAAACCCTGCCAGAATTCAGGGATGAGCGGGAGATACCCATGCCCCTGCCCCCACAAAGTGGAGGTATGAATGGTACCACCGGGGACTCGCCACCCATGCAGCCGCCCAGTAGCCTCTCTGACCCCTTCTTCATCATCGAGACCACCTGCGTGATCTGGTTCACCTTTGAGCTCCTCGTCCGCTTCTTCGCCTGCCCCAGCAAGCCCGAATTTTCCCGCAACATCATGAACATCATTGACATCGTGGCCATCATCCCTTACTTCATCACCCTGGGCACTGAGCTGGCCCATGAGCAGCAGCAGCCCGGGGCTGGCAGTAGCAATGGGGGTGGGGGCCAGCAGCAGGCCATGTCCTTGGCCAGGGTGGGCAGTAGCATGGGGGGTGGGGGCCAGCAGCAGGCCATGTCCTTGGCCATCCTCAGAGTCATTCGCCTGGTCAGGGTCTTCAGGATTTTCAAGCTCTCCAGGCACTCCAAGGGCCTGCAGATCTTGGGACAGACTTTGAAAGCCAGCATGAGGGAGCTGGGCCTCCTCATCTTCTTCCTCTTTATTGGGGTGATCCTCTTCTCCAGTGCTGTCTACTTTGCTGAGGCTGATGACCCCGAGTCTCATTTCTCCAGTATCCCTGATGCTTTCTGGTGGGCAGTGGTTACCATGACCACTGTGGGTTATGGGGACATGCGACCTGTCACTGTGGGGGGCAAGATTGTGGGTTCCTTGTGTGCCATCGCTGGTGTGCTGACCATCGCCCTGCCTGTCCCTGTCATCGTGTCCAACTTCAACTACTTCTACCACCGAGAGACTGATCACGAGCAAGCCCTCCTCAAAGATGAACAAAGCAGTGCTCAGGGCAGCACAGCGGGGGGAGATGCAAAGAGAAGATCCAGTAGAAACTCTCTGAACAAATCTGTTGTGCACTTGGAAAACAGTGAGGGGTTCAACAGTGACACCAGCTCCATAGAGAAAACCAATATTAAAGCAAAAAGTAACCTAGATCTCAGAAATTCCCTCTACGCATTCTGTCTGGACACCGACAGGGAAACAGACCTGTAAGGAGGGAGAGTTAGTGTGTTCAGAGATGCAGGAGGATTTGCTGGTGTCAGAAATGTAATACTAATTATTCTTTTGGTACCAATTAGTTTTTAAAACTGGCCATATTTTATAAATTGATCACTGCCCTGAGTAGTCCTCCAGGAATACATGTTTTTATGTTCTTTTTCCATGACACAAAGGGTCACCTATTTTTAAAATAGACTAAGAATAAGCTACGCTCCATGATGCAGGAGCTGGTAAACTGTGACAGTGCAAAATGTAATTTGTAGAAACTTATTTTAGCAAACGGTTGTTGGTTTTAAGTGGGTCATTTGTAACCAATTCAGTTGCTCCAAGTTTAGTATTAAAGAGTTGGGGGATTTGTATGTGGAGAATGAATGGATTGGGGGGGGAGGGGGAGGTTGAGTTTTTTTTTTACTGTAGTTCCAAACTGAAATTATTCCAAGATATTTTATATGTGTATAACTGTATTTATGTTTGACAGAGGATTTTTTATTCCTGTGAAATATGACATTGATAAAGCACTAGGAACATTAGCAGATCAGCACTTTCAGAGTTTTCCACTTGTCATCAGTACAGATCTGGTTATCTCGTATGTGAAGTGAATTTGGTGCTTTTATCCCTAATAGCAGAAAAGTTCTATTTGTCATTGATACGTTAGTTTCTTGTGAGCCTTAAATTATTACCTATTGTAGATATACGTCTTTATAAATAATTTTATTCATTACCTTACTGTTTCAGAATTTCTAAATAACTGTCCTGTGCTTACTGTCCCCATGCAAAAATGTATGTGCAGCTTTTTACTTTCTTTTTAGTTTTACAGTTTTATGCCTTCATTATATTTTTAAGACTGAAAGGAAAAAATACTGTCTGCTGTTACTGGTTTCAGTCCAAGTGCACAACAGATCAAAAACATGAGGGAATGGAGAGATACAGCAAGAAAGTAGAATATGAGTGCAATATCTGCAAATCTCTTTTCATCGTACACTCCAGATCGCTTTGGCATGTGCTTAGGTCACTTTTATGTATCCATACCATTTGTGTACACAGCTCCCTGGTTTTAATTATCATAGACTGGAAACGGACGGCACTTAAGGAGTCTAACGTGGCATGCTGTGCTGCTCAAATAACCACTGCGTGGCTTATATCTTGGACTTAGAGGGAAAACATCACCTTTCATCAAAACACAGCCTTGGGTTCTTTTATTTCCAAACAAAACCTTCTCGGTGCTGTGGATTTTACAGTTAAGATGCTGTTGGAAGAGGGATGACACATTCTCCTGGTTGTGATAACACAGCGCTGTGCAGCTTACTAGGGAAGACTGACACAAAGTTGCTTCTTGAAGTCAAAGAGCCTTGTTCCCATTTTTCTGGCAAAAGACATCTCTGTTTTCCTCTCAAACTTCTGTTTTATCGTTGAAGGATGTTTCAGCCTTTACCAAATACAGTGGCACAGCAGGAGCTGCAGAAAGAGAAGTCTTGATTGTCAACACTCAAGGTTTGTTTCTGACAAATTTTCTAATACCACCGAGTGATTGCTAAATCAGAATTAGAATTAATGCAAGTGCCTCAGGTACAAGTCCTGTGATAAATTTATGTCAGTTTTGCAGAACAGCACTTTGACATTCTTTTGTCTAAAGATGAATTCTGCTTACCTGTCCCTTACCATGCCCTTTAAGGTTACTGGCCAAATGCATGATGTTTTTCCTTCCTACTCAGTAACAGATGCATACAAGTGCCAAGTAAGCAGTATTTTTCATGTTTGGTATAAAGAACTGTCACACGAGGCTCAGCCCAAAACCCAGGGGTGGAGGGGGAAGGAGGCTGAATGTGATAACAGAGAACAGGGTCTTTCACTCAATTTTAGATGTAGGTTTCTTGGTTGGTTGGTTTGTTTATTTAGGTGGGGAACGATGCTGTGATAGCTGAGGAACTGTCTGCAACAAACCTGACAGACAAAGTGCCCAGTCCAGCTGCACTCCAGACTCAGGCAGATCTCCTGCTTGCTTTAATGGGAGTTTTTGCATCAGGGTGAAGTGCAGAATTAGCCCTTTCAGGAGGCTGAATCTCAAGTGAAACAAGGAGGTGGTATAATGGCCTGTTGTACATGCTGACAGCTAGATCATTAAGGGACTTACAGTGAAGCCTTTTGCTCAGGCAAGTATTTTGATTTACTTTAGTGATTAAATCCATGTGATTCACCTGACTGAGTACCAAACAATTCAGTGAGTCTTTCAGGACCAAAATTTGTTTGTGTTTTTCCCTAAGTACTACTCCCACCTTCCTAACCATTTTCATCTCCCATAGTTTGCTCTTCCAATTGCACATTGTGCTGAATTAAGCTGTCAGCTTCTCAGAGCAGGGGCAGTGTGTGGAACCAGTGGATCCAGTGCCTTGTTTAACAGTGGAACCCTGCTTATGGCCAGGGCTTCTGGATATTAATGACCTGAATTACCAAACAGTAGTTATTGAATTTAGTGGAGTAACACTGGTGTAAAACTGATGTAGGTGAAAGCATATAAGGGCCATGTGGAGGGGGTTGAGCTGATCTTAAAAGCCCACTGCTGATGGAAAAGGAAGACCTTGTCTTCCTCCTTTTCACTTTTCTTCCTCTCATTGTGTGCACTTTTGTTGCTTACTCTGAGCTGGTTCTGTCCTTGTGCAAGTACAAGCACAAGTGCTGCCTGCTCTTCAGGAGCTGCTTGAGCTCACTAAGCTGACAGAAAATCCAGTGCTATGACAGCAACAGCAAAGTAGATCTTTTTTTGTCAAAAAGGTGAGTTGAAAAGCAGATAAATTCCAGAGTACATGCAAGGAAGGGATTAGGAAGGTCAGTGGTGCAAGGAAGTGAGGAAGGAGTGAAATCCTCACCCTTCAGTGTCAGTGGACTCTTAGATTATCATGACTCCTTGTTGAATCCTACTTCATGTTTGCGGAGATGCCACAGGACTTGGTCTTGCAAGGTGCCTTTAACTTCCCACTGGAATCCAGTCTGCAAAATTCCTCTCTGGATTCCAGTGTATAAGCTGTGCTATAAGTGAAAGTAGAATTTGTCCCAGTCTAGATCAAGGTCTGTGAGAGCAAAACACCCTGGTTTCTGCATGGGGTGCTATGCAAGCTTGTCAGATTGCTCCTTGACCTTCAGTTTGAGCATGTTGTTTTTCCATAATAAAACAATAGAACTTTCCAATAAAAAGCAAAACAATTATTCTCAAAATGTACTTACAAATACTTGTTTGGCTTGACTTTCCAAACAGTTGTCAAGTCTAGTTTGGGCAAACTCAGCTTTGCCACCTTATTTACAAGGATGCATAATTTCTATTGGCATATAAAGCAGCAAAGGGTTTGCCTTCTAATGACAGAGTTTGCTGCCAAACACTGAGTAATACAACCAGAAACATGGTTAGGTCACAATTCAGCAGAACATTTAGCATGGGCTCAGCATTAAGCATATGCTTAAGTAAAGCAGTGTTCAGCAGGTATTTTAGATGCACTGGCCTTTGAGATTGTTACTTAAAGATGAACTACGTGCCCTGCCGAAACCTTAGAGACATCAGTTCCCATTGGACTTTGGTGCAAATATTTAGGTATGTGGTACAGTTTGTGAGCCTGAAAACAAGTGGTGCTGTAGGATGCTGTATTCAGAACGCCAGATTCTTACTACAGAAAGTGCCTGTCCCTGCAACCACGCCTCATCAGAGCAGTCCTCTTGACATGATCAGTTGCAAACTGAGTACCAGGATTGTCTGGTGAAGTATTGGCCTGGATGAGAGTGTAAGTGTGCTTTCCAGTAGTGAGAACTTGCTTTTGCTGGAATTGATTTTGATATCAAGAAGCTTCATTGAGTTTGGTAGGCAGCACGTATCTGTGCCTGGGATACAAGCAGTGCAGAAGCCTCGTAACCTGCCAGTGCAAATTTCTGCCACAAAAGAATGTGAAAGAGAGAACCAAATCACTGTGAGAGAGCCCCTGTAAATGTGACACAGGAAGACAGTCTAGGCTACGTATGTCAATTCTAGGCTCATTATAAGACAGAAATGTGTCCAAAACATTATTGATCTTAGGTTAGCTGACCTGGAATGAAAAGCAAGCTGAATAAAACCTTTGTGGAATTATCAAAAGCCACGAGATATCAGAGCTTAATGAATAGCAAATCATTGCAAATGTTAAAAAAAAAAAAAATCTATATTTTTTTGCAAACTCTTTTGAGTAGGAGCTACAGATTCCTTGCCCACACATGCCTATGTGCCATAGTTATTAATGGCTTGTCATTTTGTGCAGGGCAGTGTGACCTGAAATGCATTACCCTTCCATTCTTCTACCCCTGTTTTGGGGATGTTGAAGTGAATATTGTTTTAGGTCACCAGTAATGTACGTTTAGTTTGCTTAGCCTGGCCCCAAGGGGAGTCTATATTCCCATTTTACTTTTCCATCGTTCTGAAAAATGGTAAAACAGTAACTCACAGTTACATAACACCATTCAACTCCTAGTGCTTTATGAACAATGATCTTCTGTGTACCAACATGGTAAAGAAAAGGCTGTGGAAAGGAATATTGTACCTTTCAAATGGGGAGAGGCCTAGGAGAGGCATGAAAATGAATGGGCTTGATTGGAGTGGGACATCTAAAATGTGAGGTCTCAGGGGAGGGAGAAAAGGGAGCAGAGATTCACCCTGTGGTCTCCTTTCAGGTCTCTTGCATGGCTCTTGGTGGCTCTGCAGGCAAGGGCTGTGTGCCAGCATCTGTGCACTGTGACCCATCTGGTGGGGTCACCGAGAGCCGAGAGGGAGCGAATGCTGCTTTGTGCAGCATGAACAAATCCATCTTTTGAGAGCTGCATTAAAAAAATTTGGTTTTCCTAGGGAGAAAACAGCACTTTTGCTGTTGATTGCCTGTCCCCTCGTGCAGCAAACGCTGCTGTTCTACTGGTGGTGATGGGGGCTCTTCAGTTACACCACACCGAGCACTGCTCTGAAGTAGCTCCCCTTCTCCACACACTGC